CGGGTAAAATCAATTACTTTAGGCGACGTTTGTAGACTAACCTACACGTACCAACGTCCACATGTGGCGACGCTCGAGTATAACTATTCAGCGTTTTTACTATATTTCTAGGTTTCCTATTTCTACGTTTAATCGGCCCATGTCTCAGCCACAATATTTTGAGGCCAATATTATTTACGAACCCAGTTAAACTTATTTACTAGCCTATTTCAGCGTGCTAATTATGACATTTAGGCGACACTTGTTGTAGACTGGCATACACAGTACCAACGCTCGTGTTTACTACATTGTAAAAAATGTCAGTAATTTTTCGTTTACCGTAATTAAATTTACTGTAAAAATAAGGGTCACTACCGTGTGATTGTATTTTTACGGTATTTTTTATATAATAATACGATAGATTAGTGTTTTGTTGTAAATTTCCGGTATCATATTGTTTTTCTACAGGTTAAAAAATCGTCCGTGTATTTTTATGTAAATAGGCCTATACGGTGAATTCGTAAATTCAATGTGTTTGGCGGTTAAATTACGTCGTCATATTACTGTTTTCCGTAACTTAACAGGTCAAAATCAACATTTACGTTAATTAACGTTGGAGTTCGTAAAATGTTCATTTATAAACTGGCGTAATTTTACAGTACAAAATATTGTTTTAACAAGTACTATGAATTTTAACGGTATTTTTGTATAATAATGATAAGACTGTGAACTCACACTTCGCCATGTTCAATAACGGTTCATCTTCGCGGGTAAAATTAACATTTTTCAGTAATTTTACGTTCGCCGTTGTAATCCTACTATTAGTAAAAAAGTGTCTGTTATTTTACGTTTACTGAAATCCAATTTACTGTGAAAATAACGTTAACTACCTTAAAATTGTATTTTAACGGTATCTTATATAATAAAAATACGATGTTGTTGATTTGTTGTAGCCTAAATTATCGGTATCATATCGTTTTTCTACAGGTTAAAATCGCCATTGTGTTTTAACGTCAGAGCTCGAAATTTAAACTATAAATTGGTATAAATTTACCTACCTTAACCGTTAAGAATTGTAGTAATAAAGAAAAGGAATTGCTATGTAAATATACGATGAATTCGTAAATTTAATGTGTTTGCTGGTTAATTTTACGTCGTCATATTACTGTTTTCCGTAATTTAACAGGTCAAAATCAATATTTACTTTAAATTACGTTGGAGTTCGTAATGTTCTTTTTTAAACTGGCGTAGTTTTACAGTACAAAATATTGTTTTAACAAGTACTATGAATTTTAACGGTATTTTTGTA